TAAAACATTTAATTGTGTTAATTTAATTTTAAATACTATTACTATTTATTATCAATTCATGAATACAAAATATTTTGATATTCATTTTTTCAAGTTTATTATTTTATATTATAAATAATTACTTATTTTATACTATAATAATGCTCTATAAGACACCATATACTGACTTTAAAATCGTGGCACTTAATAATCAGATGTGGGATACATTTAATTGGAAAATTTTTTAATATTTTTCATAGTCATAGATTAATCAAAAAAGGAAGAAGAGAAAGATGTGATACATATATTTTTTTATGAAAATTTTTGTAAAATAATTTTAAAAGATTAAAAATAATAAAAATAAATCATTTTATCATTTTAAAATTAATGATAATAATTTTTATTGTATATAACACTAATATTGTTATGAAATAAAACATGATCTTTTATGATTATAAAGTTGTAGGTTTAATGCAAGTAGGATCCATATATGTAATTTCTTCTGGAAAATGATCCATAATAATAAATCTTTTTTCATTGGGTTCACTTAAATTATCCAAAAATCCAAACCAGTAAATTACAAGTCCTGGTCCAAATCTATTCCAGTAACTCAGAAATTGTTCTTTAATATACTTCTGATGTATTTCTGTATTTCCAAATCTTGCTTTAGATTCTATCCAGTTAATTACAAAACCATTTATTGCAATTGGTACCTCAAGTTTAAAATCTGGAGTTTTGTCATATCCTCTTGATCTCAAGTGTTCTTCATTACGAAATGCAAGATTTCGTTCTGTCAAGTAGTTTTGTAACTTTAATTCATATTCTTGACCTACAGAACTATAGATTTAATATATAAAAATAATGTATAAAATAAATTATTTTATACAAATATATAAAATGAATATGATTATTTTAATATATAACATACGTTCCAACAGCATCTGATATAGGTCCATACAAATTATCATATAATATGCACTGCAAAACATTATCTAACTATTATACAGCATTATCTTATTTTTTAAAATATTAATAAATTTTAAATTACCAAATAGACTTCATATGCAAGATCTTTGTCTTGTATAAGAGTAGTATCCTTAAATAATTTGCTAACTTCATTCCTAGAGACTAAAAATATATTTTTTTTTATGATTGTTCAAAAAGAATTATAAGAATTTTATTATATAATATTATATAGTATTTAAATTACCATTAAATTCATCTTTTCCACAATGTTTTTCAAGAACATTTCTAGCTAACAATGCAGGAGGTGCACCAATATCTTTCGCCATTTTCAATAAAATTCCAACAGGTTCTCCACTTTGTACAGCTTCCATATAACTATTATTTAAATTATTTAATTATATAGCTATATTTTATATTAATATACTGATATGTTTGATACTTACGTATCATAATAATTTTTATTATTACCAAATAATTTGCTATGATTGACTTTCATTTTATGTTGTACTTCTAAAGATAATATACTATACAATGTATATACTGGAATGCTAAATAAAATAAAAATAAATATTTTATGATAGCAAATCTAAATTGAATTATTTTTAATCAAACAATCTTACTCATTATACTTTTCTTTTAAAATATCTCTACAATCTTTTGATAAGCCTCGAAATTTTCGAATTGTTGTTACTATATCATTATATAATTCAAGTTTCATTTTCGATTTTTATTTTTTAAATTCAAAATAAATTTCTTTAAATTGTTTTAACTTTTATTCATTATTATTATGTAATATTTATATTTACATCGATACTATTCAACATAAATTGATTATTGATATTGTGTATATATATATCTTTCAAATCATTCATTTGAAGTTTGTCTTTCATTCAATTTTTGAGGGAAATTTAAATATATTATTTAAGTCAATATTAATTTATTTTTTTAATCATTTATCTTTTTTTCTTTTTGCTTGAAATAAATTATAAAAATACGTGTAATTAATATCTACATTTATTTTTAAAAACATAAATTATGATTTAACATTCCTATAATTTATCTCAGAATAATAAGTAAATTGGAAACGAATACATTAAAAAACTTCAGTAGCTATTTTCACTTTATGTAAGAAAGATTGTAGGTTAGTAAGTTTAAAGAATTGTAAAGTTTAATAGTTATTTTATTTCTGATCTTTAATTCTGAAATTTATATAGAATATCGAAATATTGAGTTATTTTCTTAAAAAAAAAAAATAAAATTTATCATAAAAAAATTTAAAAAGAAAAAGCAGGACACATTGAAAAAATCTAAATATTTTTATTATTATAGTTTATTCAAAATTAATGTGAAATCATATATAAAGTATATATCAATTTATTTACATTCAATTTTTAATTATTAATTTTTTATTTTAATTTTATGAAAATTATGAATAAAAATAAAAAATCAACGAAAAAATGTAATGTACAACAAAGAAATAGTACAACAAACAATATACAAGAAGGTAATTAATATAATTTCTCTAAATATAATAATTGATTAATAATTTTTAATAATATAAATTTTGTATTATAGTTTCACTTAAAAAAAATATGAAAGATGATTTGGGAAATGATTCTCCTCAACATTCCTATGAGTCACATGTTTCTGGTCACAGTACACCAATTCGAAAAAAGGAATATGTTATTGATATAGAAGATTCTCCTGAATTAAATTATCGTTGTAGTCCAATTTCAATGCCTTGTACTCAAGATGGAGGTAATGAAATTGCTTGGGATTGGCAAACTCCTGTTAATAAAAATTCCTATGATAAATCTAAATCATCAAATAAACTTATTGAAACTCCAAAAAGAACCAAACAGTTGCAAAAGAAGCGAAATTCTAATTCTCCATTATTGCAAAAGCCACTTAAAAGGAAACAAGTGAAAATGGAAAATATAGAAAATATTGGAAAATTGACAGCTGAATTAAAAGCCTTAAGTGAAAAGATGCAAAAAATACAAAAAAATTATGATAATGATATTATTGAGAAAGAGAATGATACAAAATGTGAAGTTAGTAGTAAGTTGATGATAGAATTGGATAGTGATAATAGTGATGAAATAATGGTTATTAATAATGATAAATCAAAAATGAATTCTGTTGTTATTAATAGTAATAATAACTTTACTAATTATGAAGATTTATTTGATGATTCAATTGATGATTCAATGGTAAAATGTAGTCAAGAAATTGAAGAAAAATTAAATTTGTGTAAAAATAAAAGAAATGATATAATGGAATTATCTATAGTAAGTGAGATAAAAGAATTATCTTCCACGTCTGAAAAGTCTTATTATCTAACTACGTCTAGTACTTCTACCGAATATTCTAAAAGTTCTTCAACTAATACAAGTGGTCATTTAAAAACATATTCGAATAAATCGAATAGAACAAATTCTAGCTCAAATATTTCAATGTCAAATTTAAAATTTAACAACAACAATAATGTAAATATATCACATGAAAATCAAACATTAAAAAAAAAACATATGTCAGATTTTCCAGATGATTCTTTTGATGATTGTTTGGCAACCTGTATAGAAGATGATAAATTAGAATCTAAATTGTCAGAATATGATTTTAGTCCATCAAATTCAAGCCATAATACAAGTCTTTCCAAAAGAATACCCAAACTTGTTATTTCTAATGCAATAACTAATAAAAAAATACCAAATAATTTTCTTTCAACACCAGGTGTAAAAGAAAATATCAATAATAAAAGTAAGCTTATTACAGATGATTTAGTAGAAGAAGTTGAAACTATAACAGATATAGAAACATTACGAAATTCTTTTCCTAGTAAAAATTCCTTAGAAAACAGGAAATTTTTTAGAACAAAGAGTTTATCAGATCAATGTTTTTATCAATGTAAATATACTAATGCAAATAACAAAACAACAAATGTATTAAAATCAAATGCAGTTACTCAATCAGTAAGTACTAAATTTTTCATTGTAAAAAATCAGAATTCGTATAAAAATAATAATTTTTTACAAATTAATGGCATGGAAAATACACATAGATTTAACAAATTAGACAAGAAAGAAACTGATAATCATATTGTTAAATACAATTCTACTAATAATTTACTTAGCATGAAAGAAATAAAAGAATCTCAATCTGTACGATGTACACCAGAAGAAATAGAAAGAAAACGATTGGAAGCAAAGATGAAACTTGAAGCAAAACGTAAATTACAACAAAAAAATATAAAATCAAGTGATAATTTGTTAGAAAGAAGATCTCCAGGGAAAAAATATGTAAAAAGGTGATAGACTGGTATTATTTAAATATATAAATCAATGAAATCATCTTTTACAATTACACTATGTTGTTTTATTTAGAATTATCGTGCCTATTCTTTATATTTCTGTGATTCTAATTGTATAAAAATATATAATTATTTGATAAAAAAATCACTTTTTTTTTTGATATAATTTAAAAATCTAATTTTACCTAAATTTTGTATTTATTGTATTAATAATTTAAAAAAATATTCTTAAAACAATTAGTATTATCTTTCAATTATATAATTGATGAATTATAATTAATATATTAAAGTATTATATTTATTTTTATATTTATTTGTTTATAATACGTATTATAATATGTATTAATTTTATACTTAGAAAGTAAATTTCAAAATAAATATTGGATAAACTTGTTTAATTTATTTCTTGTATAAATATATATTAAATCCATATTACAATATTATTTGATTTAATCAATTATATACTAAAAATGAATATATTTTTTATAATATTTCTCAATCTATATT